CTCATGCCTCAGCCTTTATAATGTTAATTTTAGTAGCTTGGTTAAAGTGAATTTGGTTTATATATTCCCTATTGTCACACTTTCCTCAATAGACATAGTCCACATTCATCACTTTGAGAGCCAGGAATAGAGCCCTTCCTGGTAATAATTTCCCTGGTGTTAGAAACTAGAGTAGTTTCCAACTTTTACTAGTATGAATAGATTCCCTGGGAAAATAGCTAATATAATAATTTCTAGCTGAATATATCTCTTTCTATATATATATATATATATATATATATATATATATATATATATATATGTATATATATATAATTTTTTTTTTCAAAGTGGGATTAGCAGCTGTAAAGGTGGGTGAGTTGATGTCACTGTTGTCTCATGTTGCCAAATAGCTGTTCAAGCACAGGGAACTGATGGGCGGGTCCACCAGGATGAGGCCGTGCGGTGTGTGAGCGTAATACTCACATTGGCCACTAGGTGTCAGCCTTTAGCTGATTGTTCTCGGATGGCTTTTTCCCTGCCAACATTTGCACCAGCAGGTAACCCCGGAAAGACACGGTCCCTCCGTCGGAAGCTCTGTCTTTTAGAGAATAATGCTTAGCGTTTCCCTCATCTTAAAACCCATCACTGGAAAAAAAAAAGAGTATCAGATGAGAGGAAAAATTTCTCACAGTGCCGCCTCCTGGATAGAACTACAGTTACATACACTTTTGGTCTTTTTTATTGTCTATGTGAAATAATAATAACTCATGCTATTATGTGGCAGGCACTGTGCCAACGGTTTTCTCTAGATTAAGTCATTGAATCTTCACTGTTGACAGAGAAGGTGGGGACTACTTTTTCCTGTTGTTATTTTATACATACAGCGGTGGACAAAAATAGGTTTATAGTTGTATGTGGAAACAGTTTATTCCTGTATTGGTATTTATGTATTATCTGTCTTATGATTATTATTTTATATTCTTATTTATGATTTATCTTTTAGGTAATGATGACTGCAAATTAACCTACCTTTGCCCACCCCTGTGTTTGTACATCCCGTTTCAGATACAGTTCATGTACCGTAAGTTCTACCATTTCGGTGTCCAGTTTAGTATGTTTTGGTATATTCATAGGATTGCACAGCCATCCCATGATGTGATTTTAGAACATTCTTGACACCCCCAAAAGTCAACCCCCTTTCCCAACTCTGCCCTTTACCCCAACTAGAAGAGACTTTTCTTTTATTATTAATTAATGATTTTTTTATTGTAGTAAGAACCTTTAACATGAGATCTACCCTCTTAACAAAATTGTAAGCACACAATAGAGTACTATTAACTAGAGGCACCGCGTTGGAGAATAGATCTCTAGAACTTATTCATCTTGCATAACTGAAATATACCCGTTGAATAGCAGCTCCCCATTCCTCCTTCCCCTCACCCCTGGCAGACACCATTCCACGCTCTGCTTCTGTGAGTTTGATGACTCAAGATACCTCAAACACGTGGAATCATACAGTCTTCACCTTTCTGTGACTGGCTCGTTTCACTTAGCATACGTCCTCAAGTTTCATCCGTGTGGTTGCAAATGGCAGGATCTCCTTCTTTTTTGTCATGGAATAATATTCCGTTGTATGTGTATACCATGTTTGCTTTGTCCACTCATCTGTTGACGGACATTTAGGTTGTTTCCGCGTCTTGGCTGCTGTGAGTCAGGCGGAAATGAACATGGCAGAGCAGCTATCTCTTTGAGATGTTGATTTTAATTCTTTGGGATAAATATCCAGAAAAGGGATTGCCAGGTCTTATAAAAATTCTATTTATAACTTTCTGAGGAATCTCCGTGCTGTTTTTCTACAGTGGCCGCACCATTTTCCATTCACGAATAGTGCACAGCGTTCTACACCTCACCCATACTTGTCAGCTTTTGTTTTTGGATAGTGGCTCTCCTAACGGGTGTGAGGTGATATAGCTCATTGTCGTTTTGATTCGCATCTCCCTGGTGATTAATGAGGGAGGAACTGTTCTTATCTCAGAATTACAGAATAGAAAACAGATGTCCAGAGACGAACTGACCCAAGGTCATGTGACTGGTACATGTGTGTCCGAGCTGGGATTTGAACACAGACAGAAGAGCCCCTGGACGTGCGTGCCTGGCTGGTAAGCAGCCCTGTGTCCCAGGTGCTTCACAAACCTGTGATCATGCTGTTTTGTATTCTGTCCTTTTCTCTCGACGTCATATTTGAGTGATGTCTCAGCATTAAGCATTCTAGAACACGATTCCAAAGGGGCTGCATGATGTAGCCACGCTGTGGGCTCTATGTAACGACATCGGCTGTCCCAGGCGTCCCCTTTTGTAAGATGCTCTGAGGATGGCATCCTTGCTCGTTCTCATTTGCAGACATTTCTGATGATGGCCTTAGCATAAATCCCAGAGGCAAAATTGCTGGGACAAAGGCCAGACATACTTAAGGATAGATCATCTCCAAACAGATTCTGCTAATTTGCACGGTTACAAGGAGTATTCGAGAGTGATTTTTTTCCTTTTCTTTCACATTTCTTCTCACTAATGGCTGGACATCTCTCTGGCCTGCAGTTCGTAAAGGGTAGGAGGGAGAGTTTTCCTTTGGGGATCAGAATTGATCCTCGTGTTGACGGCACAGTCTGAAAATGCAGAAACCCACGAACAGCTTGCTCATTAATAGGCATGGCTTTAGCCTCGGCCTCAGGCTTGTGCAGGGAAGCAACGCCTGCCCTTTTACAGTGGCTAATGGCAGTCAGCCACGCTGCCACCATGGGTGTCCCCGCCCTAGGCGCAGCAGTGCCCTCTGGGGGAACACTTACTAATTCCTCATTCATTTCGTCCACATGTATTTATTGAGGGCCTACTATGTGCCTGGCACCGTGCTAGAGGCAGAGGTGGAGGAGACTTCCCTCACCTATACAGTGGGGGCAACTTCATCTGCCTTGCAGGGGGTCATGGGGGACACAGAGATGGCACAGGTCATCCACTGGAGCTGTTGTTACTGCTCTTATCGTCATAGTAAGGGCTGGTTTCTGCCCTAGAGAGACATTGCTGATGGTCCCATAAAGACCTACCTAGAAAATGAGTTTTACAAGAAAGCAGTTCACTTGAGGCTCCATTAAGCCCAGTTCACGATATGGACTGTTCATTCCAAACCAGCAGCGCTTCTGACCCCCCCTTTCCCTGCCCTTGTCCGTTCTGCTTCCGGCCTCTTTGCCTCCCCTTGTGCTGATCACCGTCCTAGGCCATCCCTGAGGGACCGGGCACACAGCTGTGGACAGACAGCGGTGGGCACACAGAGGATGACTGCAGGGTTTGGGGGTGCTGTGGCAAGACTGAGGTCAACGTCATGCCCCACATTTCTGGGACTCTTTCCCTGGCTCCCTGAAGAGAACGCAGGTCACTCCTCTGGCCCCTACCAGTACCGCTGTCTTTTCCTGCACCTGGCACCCACTGCTGGGTTGTAACTGATCTCTATGTTCCTCCATAACTCAGCGGCAGGCTCCTCTCCAGCCCCCTTCCCAGGGTCCACCAGAGTGCCTGGCACATAGCAGGTGCTCAGGAAAATGCACCAAAGGGCAGGTGATGAAGGAAGGAGGGCAGCACCTTCTCGGATGCTGGTCTCTCCTGAGCGAAGGGCAGCACTGTGCACTGAGAGGGGCTGTTTTCCACCTTTTCCTGCTCCGCTTCTGTCTGGGCCCCCCGCTCTCTGCCTCTGACCCCTGCTGCTCCCATCCTGGGCCTATGCCTGGGGTCTCCAGATGGGAAGAAGTGATGCCCCCACCCCAAACTGGCCCATCTCTGGCAGCTCAAACCAAAGAGTTTTGGAGCTGCCCCCTGGAGGAAGCCCAGGATGGGTGCTCTGGAAGGCTGAGGCTTCGCGCACCTTGGGCCCCCCTTTCTCCGAGAGTCTGCCTCCCTGAGACAGCCTTGGAGGCCAAGGGCAGGGCCATGCTGGGCGTCTGATGGGCGGGAATGGCCCAGGCATCCCTGTGAGCTCATCGTCTGGGAAGTAGGACTGGAGAGGACATTGTAGACATGGGGGGCAGAGTGCTGGTGATGGGGTCTTTGCCTGCCTTGTATCTGTGCTGGGGAGCAGAGTGGAACCATCCCAGTTTGAAGGACCTCACCCAGAGCCCCCCAGAACAGAAGGCCTCTGCCAAAGGTCCTTTGAGGTGGGAAGAATAGAATCTATTTTTCCCATCCCCTCTGAATGAGGGGGTGGCGGAGTGGGGGTGCTGGTCACAAACTCTTCTATCGTGTAGAACATCTCTCTGCCACTTCCGGAGACTCCAGCCTGTGGTTCTGGAGGAAACTGTCAATCATTATCCACAGCACAGGGCCACGTGACCAAGTAGAGTCAATCACAGTACCCCATGCCCTGGCCACAATGATTGGCCCCGGGCTAGACACATGACCTGAGGTGGACCAATCAGACCCTGCCCTGGTGCTCTGCTCTTTCCCGAGCTCCTCTCCTTCCCAGGTAGATGTGTGAAGGCTGCACAGTTTGGGGGCAAGTAGTGGCAAAGCCCTTCACCCCGTGGAGAAGGCTGACGACAGAAAGCTGTCAGGAGAAGAGAATCAAAGATGAGAGAGGGGACAAAGGAAGGGAGAGGAAGACTGAGCTGATGGGTTTTGATTTCTGGGGTTCAGTCCCCAAGCTCTCTGGACCTGCCCCGGTTCCTGCATCCCGGATCCTCGCCATCCTGCCAGTAAGGGTCCTTTTTCGATGAAGCCAGTTGGAGTGGGACTCCTCTCCCTTGTGGTCCAGATGAGATTCTAGAGTCCTGCCTGGTTCTGATGCGCTTCCCGACCCAAAGAGCGGCACCGTTCGCGTCAGCACCAGTGATAACGAGGTCCTTTATCCTTTAATTTCCACTGAGAATAGGGCTTTGCAGGGCACCAGGGCCAGCTGGTTCCCCTGGGGAGCCCCCGAGTGTATGTGAGAGTCTTTGGGGGGGGGGGCTGGTGGCTTCCTGGAGCAGTACCAGTATCTATGCCACCGCAGGTGCCAAGCCAATCCTGTTGTTCGCCCGATCAAACACGGTGAAATACAGCCTCAGGAAGACGTCCCCCAGGACCCAGAGGCTGTGGCCAAAGCTGTCATCGAGGTTGCTGTAGCAGACGTTGGACTGACCCTGGGGAGCAGGAAACAGACCGGTCAGCTTGAGCCCTCACCTGCCACCCCTTCACTATCTGAGCAGCATTAGTCCCCTGCGTCCCCACGAGCTGAGTGGCCCTGCCCGCAGTGGCAGAGGCGGGGTGCCCACCCGTTCCCTTCACATTCTGCTGCGTCTTTTCTTCGGACGCAGGCTCCAGCGGCTTCCTCTGCAGAGAACGCCTTCCCTTCTCCCCTTCACCCCGCTCATTCTCGCAGACCGAGCTCAGCCACCTTTGGGCAGCCTTCCAGACCATGCCCGCCCTCCTCGGCCACTCTAGGCTGGGCGGTGAGACTTCCCTGGAGCTCCCTGGACCTCGTCACACCGGTGTACCCGGGCGCCCCTTCGCACGGCTCTCTGGGTGCCATTGCACGGAGTCTAGTGTAGACCAGCCGCGGGCAGGCTGCCCTGTGCCTCCACGAGTCTGGGGGCTTTGAATAATCTAGGTTCCGCTCTTCCTCAAGGCCTCCTCTGAGCTCCCATGGGCAGCTGCCATTTATTAAGCCTCGACTATGTGCCAGGCGCCTGCTGCATGGTCACTGTGCACCCTGTATTCATGTCAGCGTCTAACCAGGCCACAAAGGGAGGAGAGTTGGGGCTCAGCAAGGGGGATTTGCCACCTAGGGCTAGGGTGACCATATGATTTATCATCCAAATCAGGACACTTTCAAGATGGGAAGGGAATACAGTTAATAGCTACAGTGAGACAGCACACGGACTGTCCCCAGCCAACCCCACCTGTCCCTACTCCTTTGCCCGTTCCTAGGATTGCCTCCTCCCACGTCCACCTGGTTGAACTGGAGCTCTCTGAGGGCAGAGGCTGTGTGTGTCCCTCTCCTTGAGCCCAGCACCGTGCCAGCATGGGTGGTCGCTCCATATTTATTTGAGGATGATGGGTGCCCCTGACTGCCTTTTGCTATCAAGAGGTTTGTTCTGTGGGAGGTGCCCTCCCAGCCTCAGCAGCATCTGCAATGGTGCGGCTTGGCCTACAGGGGGCCTCTTCCAGCCACAGCCCAGTGGGTCCCACCAGTCCCAGATTTGAGAACTAGCCCCCAGGGCTGGCGCCTCACCCTCCGGATGTAGGCACTGGCTGGCACTGGGTACCCGACGCCATTGATGGTGAAGACGATGTCCGGCAGGACGCGGATGGTATTGCAGTTGATGATGTACTGTTAGGGAAAGAGGGAGAGAGAAGGTTGGCCCAGCCCGTCCTTCTGTGGAGCCCAGGGCAGCTCTGTGGCATGACCCTTCACCTCGCCAGTGCTGGTGGGCCGGGCGTTGATGATCTTCAGAATGTTGAAGATATGGTAATTCGGGCCAATCAGCAGTGAGGTCCCGGTATCAACAATGGCCTGGCAGCTGCCATCACAAGCAATAACTTTCCCATTCATGGAGATGCTGAGAGACAGGGACAAAGCGCACCAGGATCACTCTGTGGCCTCTCTCCACAGCTGCCCCCTCCCTGGCCATCTCCAGGACAGCCTTTCAGCTCATGCCCTGCCCTGTTTCCCTTTATTTGGGTCACATTGACCCTCTTTGACTTCCTTTCAGCTCTTGAAGACATTGTGCTCTTTTGTGCCTCAGGACCTTTGCACTTGCTGGTTACCCTGCCTAGAACCACCCTTTTGTCTAGCTAATTACTCCTGTCCTCCAGGGTTCAGCTTAGTTATTACTTTCTCAGGGAAGTCTTCCCCCGGATTAGATCAGGCTCCTTTGTTGGTCGCTCTCGGCAGACCCTTACTCATTTCCAGTGTGTATCAAAGTGGTAAGTCATGATTTGTGCGACTTGATCTCTTGGTACGCCTGCCCTACTAGATGGGGAGAGCAAGTTGTTTCCGTAAGAGCAAATTGTATCCTCGGTGTCTCCCTCAAGTGCCCAGGACACAGCGAACGTTCAATACGCGTTTGCCGAATGTGTGCATGGACAGTGAAGGGAAGAGGGTCAGCCGGCGGCGTGCATCTGGTCCGACCAGCTGTGAAGGCTGCACAGTGCAGCTGGAGGTTCTCCCGGGAAGCAGATGCTCAGAGCGGCGGGAGCGGAGCTGTGTATCGTCCCCCTTTCCCAGACAGGAGACTCCGGGCCACCAGAGCCTGAGCAGCCCGGGGCGCAGGGCGTGGGCCTCCAGGGGACATTTCAAACTTTGTCTGACAGTATTACACAGAACCCCATCAATAGTGGCCCTGTTCTCAGGAGGCCACTCCTGAATGCCATTCCTAATCCTCTGGGTCACATCCCTGCCCCGTGCCCAGGGTGGGGCGGGGCGGGGCATCCCTGGGAATGGTTTGCTTTCAGGTCTCCAGAGTGAAGCTGGCGTCTCTCCACTGCTGGGCAGATTCTCCGTAGGGTGACCAGCCTTCCCAGGTTTGCCCAGGGCTCCCCCTGTTTTCAAAGGGGCGGTCCATGTACCGAGAGCCCCTCAGTTCTGGTGACCTGGGGTGGTTAATCACCTTGTTATAACCCTGCTTAGGCTGGTGGAATTCTCCTTGGTCCCCTTTTCACTGCAGCTTGCCCCACGACACGGTGGACGCCCCCCCCCCCCCCCCCCCCGCCTGAGCCTCTTCCCAGACAGCTCAGTCCCCAGGCCTGACCGGGCTCCTGGTGACTCAGGCCCGACCCTGCTCCTCCGGTCAGGACCCTGGTCAGGGGGCGATTAGGAACCCATGCTGGTGTGCGTGTCTGTGTGTCTGTGTGCCTGTGCGTCTGTGCCTGTGTGTACGTGCAGGTGTGGGGACGTCACTGGTGTGGCTCTCAGAGGGAGGGGCTTACCTGTCCACGGTTATCTGCCAGTAGCCCTGTCTGCTCACCGGCACCCACTTCAGTTCTCCCGTGTAGTAGGAGTGGTCCACCCCGCCGAACATCACCACGCTGCCCATCTCTGTGTTGCTGAGGGGGTGGGCAGAGAGAGGGCTCATGGTGAGGGGGAACTACGGTGGCTTTTCTCAAGCTCCGCAGCACGAAGGCACGAGGGTCGCACTTATCCACACATCGCACAGCCCTGTGGAGTCGGCACTGCTGTGGCCTCCGTTTTACAGATGGGGCAGTTGAGGCACAGAGGGTTGAGGACTGGACAGTCTGCCTGCGCTCTGACCACCCGCCTTTCTGAAGCCAGCCAGGTCCCCTCCAGCAACCCGAGCTCTGGGAGGAGCCGCCGGGGATGCTGTGTGGACGGGCCTGGCCTGCCATTTTCTGAAAAGCTGAAGCCACTGGGAAGCCACAGGCTGTGTGCTCAGGCTCAGGCAGGGCTGGCTTCACAGGCCCGTGACCTGTGCCGTCCACAGGGCCCAGGCTTACCGGGGCTCCACCCCCCTGCTGTCCCTGTCCTGACATTCCAAATTCTTTTTTGTTTGTTTGTTTTGTTTTGTTAATCCTCACCCGAGGATATTTCTCCATTGATTTTTAGAGAGAGTGGAAGGAAGGGAGGGAGAGAGAGAGAGAGAGAAACATCAATGTGAGAGACACATTGATTGGTTGCCTCCCGCATGACCCCCACGGGGGCCGGAGATAGAACCTGCAACCCAGGTATGTGCCCTTGACTGGAATCGAACACGCGACCCACTGGTCCCTGGGGCTGACGTTCTAACCGCTGAGCTAAACCGGCCCTAATTCTGTTTGAACAAGAGGCCCCACATTTTCATTTTTCACTGGTTCCTGCCACTACCAGTATCTCACTGGGCAATTTTGTGCAAAGCTCCTCTCTGAGCCTCAGTTTCCCCATCTATCAAAGGAGGGACTTGAACTTATAGGGGTTAGCAAACTTTTAAAAACGTGAGATTGTCATTATTTTGGGCTGTGCAGGCTGCGCGATCTCTATCACAAGAGCACAGTGCTGCGATCGTAGAGCAGAAGCAGCCACAGACAGGATGTGTCTGAACGAGCAGGGCCGCATTCCAATAAAACTTTATTTACAAAAACAGGTGATGGGCCAGATGTGGCCTGGGGCCACTATTTGCTGACACCTGGACTGGAATATCTTTCAGGAAACATATGGGTCAGATCTTCTCTCATTTTTTATGCAACTGAAAGCATCTTACAGCTGATTTGGAGAAAGGGCTTGTCCAGCCCAGACTTACGTGCTTAAGTAGAAGGCGAAAAGGTTCTCCGAAAGGAGGCCTTGTTTCCACATGCTGTCGAAGACAGGGGTGGTACCTTTGAGTGCCATGGTGGGGTAGCTTAGGCCCAGGATGCCGTCAAAAACCCCATATTCAAAGGACTTGCTGGACTCTGTCTGGCTCAGGCCAAATGCTTGGTATTTGACAACAAGGTCTCCGATCTGTGGGAGAAGAGGGGGATCTCATGTAAAGGTTTGGAAGCAGGGCTGGGGCTGGGCTGGGTGGAGGTGGGTAGGGAGATGCCACAAGCACCCCAGGGATCAACTGAGGCATGACTGTGCCTAGTGCCCTCAGATGGTTATAACAAGCCAGAGCAGGAATGCACCTGCTCCTCCTGCCAACATCATCCTAGTTAGGACCATACGCCTTGTCCCTTTGTTAGGGCTGGGGAAAGCGAGACTCGGTGGGACCACTAGTTCCCACGTGAGGACCCAAGGAGGAGGGAGCAGGATTGGCGTCCTTTTGGCATCCCCGTGATCTGATGACAGAAATGGAGTGAACTCATCGCAATTCATCGTGGATCCTGCAACCCTTGGGGGCAGAAACAGTTATCCCATGCAGCCTCCAGAGTTCTTGTGAAAGTCTGCCTGGGCCTTGGCCGGGTGGACCAGTGGTTAGAGCATCGGCCCTTGGCCCGGTAGGTCACAGGTTTGATTCCCAGCCAATCACGGTCGGGTGGGAGGCAACCAATCAATGTGTCTCTCTCACATCGATGTTTCTCTCTCTCTCCTTTCCATTCTATCTAAAAATCAATGGAAAAATACCCTCGGGTGAGGATTAACAACAACAAGAAAAGTCTGCCTGGGAAGTGTAATTTGGGGAGTCAGTCCACAGTTTTTATTAAATTCTCAAAGCCCCCCCCCCAAATAAGATCCTTTTAATCAGGGCCCTCCTGCATCCTTGGCCCTGTTTTCCCTGTCCTGGTATCTGGGGAGCCCCCAGGCACCTCCAGATCAGTTGCACCCTCTCCGGAAAAGCACCCCACACCTGTATGAGTGCTGGCTGGCATCCCAGCTCTGCCGTTTACCAGCTGGGACCTTTGGCAAGGTACCACTCTCTGAACCTCAGTCCCCTCATCTGTATGGGGAGGTAACAGGAGTGCTCAGATGCGGCTGCTGCAGATTAAACAAGTTATTACCGTGAAAGTGCCCAGCACAGTGCCTGGCACAACCTGAGAACATGAGAATGGGTTTCCCTCAGCTCTCCCTGCTCCCCGAAAAATCAGCCTGGAGCTCCCCGTGGGAAAAGAGCTGCAAGCCCCCCCACCCCCACCCCCACCCGCCCTCGCACTGCAGCCTGCTCTCCCCATCAGCATTTCTGGGAGCTTGTCAGCGAGGGCACCGTCTCCTCAAGGGGACAGCCCCACAGAACGGGGGCCCGACGCTGGGAGGGAAAACAGCGTTCCAGCTGACCCTGCGCGTGGTCCGTGCAGAGGCCGCTCCGGCCAGCCCTGCCCCCACTTGCTTGGCGCCTCACCCTGACGTTGTCAGAGCCCAGCAGTCCCGTCATGCTCCCGGAGCCATAGTGGAGTGAGATGGGCCGGCCCGTGCTCAGGAAGGTGGAGGACTTCCCAGGGTGGAAGGTCCTGTGTGTGGCTGCAGACATAGAGAGTGAGTGTCCATCAGCCCTCCACAGGCTGGGGGGTGGGGCCGAGAGGGGGTTCGGGGGCACTCACCACAGGCGGGACTGGAGCAGTAGATGGAGGGCACCCACAAGTCAGCTGAGCCTGTGTCAAAGATGACCTTGAACTCCTGAGGGGGCGTGCCAATGCTGATGGTGCCGACGTAGTACAGCTGCCGGGGCCAGGGAGGGGTGCTCAGGTCAGGCCTGGCTGCCCTGGCCACCCCTGGTCCCCAGGGTGCCTGCCTCTACCAGGGGGTCCTGGTTCTACTGAGAGCACTTTCCAAGCACCTCACCTCACAGCTGCTGCTCAGGCCACTGCCTTCCTCCGAAAGTTCCCAGTTTCCCTTGTAGCTCTCTAAATCCCTCACCCTTCATGGCCCAGCTTGACTGCTTCTTCCTCCAGGAAGCCCTCCCAGGTCACCCAGGCCATTTTCTCCAAATGCAAAACATGGAATGTCAGTACCATGCGGGTGGCCCTTTTATTTGACGTTTATTTTCTCTTTGCCTGTCTCTTGCAGAAGCGATGAGACCCTTTGTCATCAATAACGATAACCACAATGTCTGTTTTATAACCTCACACACTGTAGGAGCTCAATAAGACTTACTGGGGTCATTCTTGGGGCTGCGGAGGCTGAACTTCCTCTGCCTGGGGTATCAGACTTGATTCACAGTTGGCGTTGGCGTTTGATCAGACATGGCTCACCCTTCAACTATGACTCAGTGGTTTGTTTAGTTTAGAAGGACCAGCATCCGTCAAACCAGAGCCGTGGTTCATAGGTGCCCACTGAAATGGATGTTTACCTGCCACCTGGTCATTGCTGGACCCAGTCACCACAGATCAAGGGTTGAGGGTGGGAGTGCCTTCTCCTCTGGGGGTGGGAGCCCTGTCCCCCAGCTTTGCTGCCTGCAGCAGCCGCAGCACCAACAACCTGGCTCCCACCACCAGACGAACCCCAGCGCATGGCCAGAACTCTGAGGGGGCTGTGGATGGCAGTCCCCACCACACTCACATCCAGGTAGCTCCTCATGGGCTCCACAGTGACTCCTTCCTGTCTGTGAAGAAATCTGTAGGCCTGGCTGTAGGGATGCTCCTGCAGGTAACTGCTCAGCAGGTCTCTCTCCCTGAGGCTTTCTCGCATGGACTTGATCTTTGTCAGAGGGATTCTTTCATGGGGGGAAAGGAGACAAGTTAGACAACAGCTCACTGCCCCGAGGTTCAGTGTAACCACCACACCTAACCATCACACTGTGTGTTTTCCAAGTGTTTTCATGAGTGTCATCTTGTTGTCAGGGCTGGACACCCAACAGAACAGAAAGGCCATGGCAGTGGACAGAGGCTTGAATACAGGTCCTGTTGTAACCTCGAGTAAGCCATACGACTTTTGGAGCCTCAGTTTCCCCATCTGTAAAGCAGTGGAATGACAATCCCCCTCACAGGGGATGCTTTGGGTACTGAGTGAGATGACGGATATAATGCGCCCACCATCTAGGAGGTCGGGGCAATGATAGCCATCACCATCACCATCTCAGTCTCTCTCGCAAGGAAGCACTGGGAGGGAGGGGCATGGAGTCTTTATCCTCTCTTACAGGGAGGAATCTGGAGTGCAGGGAGTGTGGGACTGGCTGTGGTCGCACTGCTTGCTGCGGCAGAACTTGGCCTAGAAGTATCCCTTCTGATCTTTCTCAGGGTTCAAGCAGCGGAGAAGCCAGGAGATGGGGAGTAAATTAGGAAAATTCAGAGGACAGAGAAACAAGCGAGCATCAGAATAGAAAAAAACATGCTGAGCTCTTCATGGGCAGAGATGTCCAAAGAGATGGAGAGACAGGAGAGAGAGACGGGGATGGAGACACGGAGACACATGGACACGGGAGTGGAGAGAGCAGGGACAAGACCTGGAAGCAAATTCGAGAGAAATGCCGTCCCTAAACCAGGTCACACTCAACAGCAGCACAGGTCATGCACCATTCACACAGCAGGCCTGTCCCAGGACCCCTGGGCCCACGGTGCACGTGGCAAGCTACTCGTCAATCAATGGAGACGTGGACCTTAAGACGGGACATGATTGCATTCCCTTCTCCACCCCGGATGGTGCAAGAATAAGAGGACAGTGAGAAAGAGGCCAGAAGAGAGCAGATGTGACCCGCAGTCCCCAAACTTACGTGACCAAGCACTCTGAGAGGGCCACCAGGCTGAGGAACCCAATCCACTTCATGTTCCTTCTTGGGTTCACGCGCTCAGGAAAGATTGAGTTTTGAGCTCGCGGTGATGGGCAGGAGCTGCTGGTTATATGCACTCTGACCGGCCCTCATGATCCCCGTGGAGGGCCGCTGATGGCCCCGATAAGAAATACAAACCTCCCGGTTTGTGCTTATCTTTATCCCCATCAGTGTTCCTGAGGAGGAGACTTAGAAAATTCTCAGAGTACAGAGATCTCTATTGTCATCTCTTCCTTGGGGCATGGCCGGGGAAACAAAAAACATAAAAACTCCAAACCACACAATCTGACCAAGAGTCGGGAGACTCTCGCTATCTTGGAGATAAAATACAGCTAATCATGTCATAAAAATAAGTGCTAGGTACCATGCTTGACATTCTTGGTCTCAGGTAGCGACCCCGTGAGCTGTGCATCGCTGTCTGCGTTTGGAGAGGAGATTGCTAGGAGGAACAGGGGTCCAACGGCAGAGTGAAGACATCGGGGCTGCCCACGGCCATGCGAGTGGCTCTAGGTAAGGGGACAGATGGCACAGATCCGGGGTGCTTATGATGCCACTCTACTTCTCTGGGCTAGCACAGCAGTACAAGAGTACACATTCAATATCGGAAGATGTTTTATTTATCCGGAAGGTGTTTTATTCATCCAACAAACACGTACTGAGGACCCACGATAGGCAGGGGTCTGGGCTAAATGCTGGGAAATCCAATAAGACACAGGTGGTCCTTGCCTGCAGGGAGCTTCCTGTCCAGGGCAGGGCTCGTGAACCTAAGGCCCGGAGGCAAGGGACGTGAACGGAAGGGCTGGCCGGGCTCCATGGGCACCGGGAGCAATAGGCCCCCCTGCAAAGGGGCAGCCTCTCCTCGGCTCAGACCAGCGGTTGCCGTGCTAGAAGGCAGGCTGGTTGGCCACGTTTTCAAGAGAAGCCTGAAGTCTGGACGTGTATGTGAACTTCCCTGATTTTTAAATGTGAGCAGCTAATTAAAAATTTTTTCAAACTGTAGTGTGAGCTAAACTTCAAGCCACTGTGGGCTGGGTTCAGCTTGCAGGCTTTGCAGCTGCTATTTCTGGCCTAGAGGTGGGAGCAGAGGGGACTGAGGGGGTTCACTTCATGTTGGGTGAATGACAGAGACTGAGAACGTCCCAACCATGTCAATTTGCCTTCCACTGGTAAAACAAACAAACAAACAAAAGACCCCCAGTTTCAGATAAATCAACAAACTTAATAGCTTTCACTTGCTGAGCCCCTGATGTAATTCCCCAATAGAATCCATGCCTTGGAAACATTTTGTGTGCCAAACCAAACATACAAAGGAATAATTAATTTTTAAGTGTCTTATCAACCAAAGAAGATAGAAACAGACCACCTAGAGCTTCTGCTCAGCCTGAGATGAACAGGGATACCCTAAAACTGATATTATTCCAACCGAAGTGAAGACAATGGAATTTATGGTTCCTTCCAGGACTCCCAGGGCCTCGGTGTCTCTGTGTGAGATCTGCCCAGGTCTGTTCCTTGCATGGAGGCTAACCCTGTCCCCAGGCTGAGGTGGTAGATGGACATTGTTAAAATTCAGTCTGATTGGTTCAACCTTTATGGGGGGGATAGATAGCATCGAGCAAATGACACGCACATTTGTCCTTTAACTCAACAATTCTTCTAGGAATCTATCCCTAAGACACACTGGCAAAAGTACAAAAAAGATGTATGGATGTTATTGCCAAAAGCAAGGATTAGGAACATAGCAGAAGCGACCACCAGCAGGGGAGCGGCGGATGGGCTCTGGCGCATCCGCCCGACTGGGTACAATGCAGGTGGAAAGAGGAATAAATGGCCGAGATCTCTAGAGTATATTGATTATTTTTAAAAAGGGAGCAGAATAGTGTTTATGATTTGCAGCATTCACATGCACATAGATGTGCACACATACGTGTATATTTTCAATAAGAAACCGTGGAAGAATAAACCAAAAGACTAAGAAAAATTGCAATTCAGGGCGAGGAGCAGGGATAGAAGTGAGATTTTTCTTGTTTCATGTTCGACTTTGCAGCCATGTAAATGTGCTACTGGATAAACAAAACAAAACATAAAAATCCCATCGCGTGAGACCAGGAACGATGTTGGCATCGAGGCGACTGTAACTATCACGTCTTCTGACGCTTTGACCAAACCTCAGAGGTGTGGCCTGGCCAAGCGCCTGCGATTTCATAATGTATCCCCGGGGGGTGGCATTTTTCTGTAAGTGTGTGCGGCTGAACCAAGACAGAAGGCACACGCAGACGTCTCCAGAAATCCTGCCTCCGTGAAAGGTTTTGAAGATACGAGGCAGGTTGGTACCTTTTATTTATTTTATTTTTATTATTATTATTATTTTTTTATCCTCACCCGAGGATATTTTTCCATTTTTTGTACAGATAGAGTGGGAGGGAGAGAGAGGAAGGGAGAGAGAGAGAGAAACACCGACGTGAAGGAACACATCGAGTGGCTGCCACCCGCACGACCAACCAGGGCCGGGGACAAACTGCAACCGAGGTACGTGCCCTTAGCGGGAACCGAACCCGGGTCTCTCCGGACCGCAGGCCGACGCTCTAACCACTGAGCCAAACTGGCCAGGGCAGGTTGGTACCTTTTAGAGGGAAACATGATCTTGGAGTGTGAAGCGTTTCTTTGGGTTGAATTCCACGGACATTTGCCACTGACCTGTGTTCCTGAACTATGAAACATGAATATTTGCACAAAGGGATTGTTTCTCTTGATAAGTAATCAATTGAGAAAATTTAAAAAATCACATCCCTCAAAATTGAGAATAAGCTAAAACAAACGGGCCTAATTGTATCTAGTTGGTGATGCAGCCATGCAGAGCAAACCATTACTTCAAGTGGCTTTATTTTAAAAAAAAATTTTTTTTCTTTATTGATTTTAGAGAGAGAGAAAGGAGAGGGAGAGATAGAACACTGATGAGAGAGAACACTGATTGGCCGCCTCCTGCATGCCCCCCACTGGGGATTGGGCCCACAACGTGGGCATGTGTCCTGACTGGCAATTAAACCGGCGACCTGGTGCATGGGTCAACGCTCAACCACTGAGCCACACCGGCCAGGCTCAAGTGGCTTTAAAATGAAGAATTTTGACTCTCCATTTATAGTCACGTATTTCCTAAGGACAAAACAAACACACAAACAAAAAACAAGATAACAAAAAAATCCCCAAGAAATTGGGAACTGCCCAACAGCCATCCTCTTGGTGATGCTGACTGCTACCGTTACCTCGAAACTACTAAATGCCCGTTACAGGTTAAAGCACGGAGGTAATTATGCTCATGTCACGAGGCAAGCTTTTCCGTAGAAATGAGCTGTAAATACGAAACAAAAAAGGTGAAGTTAAGCCCTGCAATCTTGAAACCTGAGTTGGAAATAGAAGTTCATGCTGATTATTTTTGTTCTAAAAATATGTATTTCCTAGCTCAGGACACTGACGAGCCTAGAAGCGATGAAATCCTGGTCGCAGTGAATAGCCTGAGGCCTGGCTGGTGGCCTCTATCGTTTTCCAATAGAGACGGCCGATGGCAGGGCCGGGCCTAGAAATGTTCAAGACGAGCTCGGGGCACCGTGAAGGGCAGGAAGACCGGGGCTGGCAAAAGGCTCAGGAATCACTATGAAGAGGCTTCCACTGGCCAGGAATAGGACAATTTGAGCAACACATTTAGTCGATGGAAACAAATTAAATACATAAAAAGCCACACGTTTCATATGATATATAACAGCTAATATGATACCACGGGAAATTGCTAGGGTGCCAATTTATTATTCTGATCATCGAGAGCGGGAAGGAAATAATCCTCCACATTTATTGCTATTGCTGTCTGTATGAAGTACATTTCACGTAGCTTCAAAGAGTTGATGGAGGAAAGTGGTTACTGCAGAATACCAGCAATTCAATTCAGAAGGAATGGCGGTGGAAGGAAACCACCGTTTTGCAACTCCTAATGAGACACTGGATGCTAAGACCCGAAGATGAAAGGTCAAAGGAAAGTGCGTGATGGCCCTGGCCAGTTTGGCTCAGCGGTTAGAGCGTCGGCCTGCGGTCCAGAGAGACCAGGGTTCAGTTCCTGCTAAGGGCACGTACTTCGGTTGCAGTTTGTCCCCGGCCCTGGTTGGTCGTGCGGGTGGCAGCCACTCGATGTGTCCCTTCATGTCGATGTTTCTCTCTCTCTCTCTTCCTCTCTCTCCCTCCCACTCTATCTGTACAAAAAATGGAAAAATATCCTCAGATGAGGATTAAAAAAAAAAAAAAAAAGAAAGTGCGTGATGAATGGATGCGGTCGGCAACATCAGGACCCACCGACCAACCTGGGCATCTCTGGAAGTGGGACTGGGAATGATGTGCGTCCTCCAGCGAGGGAGCTACCGATGAACTACTCCAGTGAAGAAGTTTGATCTCAAGTCTAGATCTAACTACCAGTTTTCAGGAAATACATAGATCAACAATTTTCACCCTTTTTCGTCTCATGACATACACAAACTAATTACTAAAATTCTGCAGCACACCAGGAAATGTTTTGTGTGCCAATCTGATATTAAAAATAGATATGCTTTTGGCTCACGCACGCTGGATGGCTATTGTGTTGGCAGCTGTCATGTTTCTATTTGACAGTCTAAGGGAAAAGAGGTCAGTGCCCCAGATTAAACAGCCAGGTATTGCATGTTTTAAAAATTCTTGCGGCGCACTGGCTGAAAATCGCTGACACAGATAAAAGAACAAGGAAGCAATCATCCGAAACCAATACCTGAAACATTCTGTAGGACAAATGACCCCGCCCCTTCCACTTTTCAAACAAATCCAGTGTTTCATTTACGTGTTACAAGTCTTAAGAAACAACAACCAAATGCAACATATGTGTCCATTTTCTAGATCCTGATTCCTGATTTGAATAAATAAATGGTTAAAAGGCATTTCTTTTCTTTTTATTTTTTTTAAAGAATCAGAGAAATTTGAACACGGA